AGTAACCCACACTCGAAAGGAAGATGCTTCGATAGAACATGTTGGCTTCCCGTCTATTCAATGGGGATCCCTTCAGAACTCTGGTATAGTGGGTGCATTTCTTGATCAAGGCTGCTTTCTGTGCTGTGAGATTTCCAGCCGGGCCTTTGAAACATCCCAGTGACTTGTGATCTTTGTAGTTGTCGACTGGTTTGATCGGCGTGACGATCCCATCAGTGGATTCCACCTTGATGGATGGTGTAAAGTCAGTCCCCGAGACCAGCTTTGGTTCTCCACTGGATCTGAACTCATATCGGAGATGATGAAAGGAACACTTCGAAGCCTCCAGCTTGCCACCCGATGACCACAGAATCTTTCACCATTGAGCATCTTTGGTTGCCTTCTCCACCAATACCTGCACTGAGGGAACAGTGTTTGTCAGAAAGCAATTCGTTCTTGAATTCGTATCATCCACAAACCCCGTCATGAAGAGCTTGACCTGCTTTGATCCGTCTGGGCTGGCAAAGGTGGCACCAGTTGCATAGGGCTCGAAACAATCAAATAGTGTGCTCGAAATAAACAGCCATAAGGCAGGGGAGTTCCCAGCTCCTTGGCCAGACCCGTGCCAGGGATCTTCCTCCGTATGACCGAGAAACGTGACTGACGTTCCCAGAGTGGTCTTGATATGGTACTGGGCCTGTTCCAGATTCATGCCGTTCACTTTACAGACACGCACTGGCATACCCATCTTTCGGCTTGCAAGACTGGCAATGTACATGAGAATCCTATCGTAGCACGCAGCTGCGTCATTGTCGTTCTTGATTAGGGGGTGCAAACAACAACGTGATACTTCATACTCGAGTTCCTCCATATAACAGAGATCAATGGCGGACCTTCCTGGAACGGAACCAAACTGTCTGGAAGTCTATTTTTATTAAAAACGAACCGGCTTACTTAGGGGTTGAGGCAGGGACACGAGGTCGGAGGTCTGACCGAGGGCTTAAGAGAGGGCGCAAGCCCGACAGCCCGATGGTCAGGCCAGAGACCGATGGGGCACAGCCGGCCCTAAGTAGCAGGTTCGTTTTGATGGGAACGATTAACGGCTGGTTTTGTATTTAACGGTCGGTCTGTGTAGACCACGTAGAGTTACTACCGTACCACTACAGAACGAACCGGCAGGTTTTGTATTGGTACGGTAGGATTTCTACGTGTTCTACTGAAACCGACCGTTAAATACAAAACAAGCCGTTACTTATTCCATAAGTCATACAAAACCAGCCATTATCGTTCCATTCGAAACAAACCGGTTACTTAAGGACGTCTGTGCCCCATCGGTCTCCGGCCTGACCATCGGGCAGTCGGGCTTGCGCCCTCCCTTAAGCCCTCGGTCAGACCTCCGACCTTCGGGTCCCTGCCTGACCCTTAAGGACCCCCAAGCACAAATTAGTCACTAGTACTCGTGAGTAACCCCAGAGAGGAACCGGCCACCTATTTTAGGAGAGCTCGAAGCTCGTACCACATGGTTGGCCCACGAGCCCCAAAAGGAATTTCAGAGAGGGAATCCCATGTGCTTCAATAAAAATTCCCTACTTTAGCACGTATGTCAACCCTTGTCGAGTCAGCACAACACCTAATTGTTTTGGTTCAACATGTTTCGCGGTCAACTTTCGTCACAAATTGCACACGTATCAAGCTATCTAGCTAGTAGAGCATCGAAGCATAGATACGCACTCTCAACACACCATCCATGGCTAGCACCATGGACAATGAAGAAGACCAAGCAATCAGGGCCGAGGATAGAGATGAAGTTCCTCCCCTCAGACAGTCTGTTGCAAGACAGAGTCTCCGAAGTAGAGGACCCGCGACAAGTGTGGAGGAAATTCTTACATGCTATGGTCAGAACAAAACTCTACAGAAGGAAATAGCGAAGCTATCCACCGGTGGAAACCGCTATGACAGGAACAAGGATTCTGATGACAACTGCTGGAACACCAATAGTTTGTTTGCGGGGCAGCCCAGCAAGAAACAGAAGCTGAGTCCACCAGTGCCAGCATCGGCAATTCTTAGAGGATGCGAAAGTGAAGCATCTGAGGTTTCAGAAGTCTCAGAAGCTGAGGAAGATGGAAAGAAGAGAGCCGTGCCTGAACCAAGACGTCATATAGTGGAGGCAAACCAGATATCCGAATTCATAAGAACGCACACAGTTTGTCGCAGTGGCTAGTAAGTCTACGTTGAAATGCAGGAACGAAGAATGTGTATGGAATGAAGAGGACAAACATCCCTCATGCAATATTTCCCGTACTGGACTGGAGACCAAGACAAAGAAATCAACAACAAGCAAGATCTATCAGGTGAACATCCGTTATGTGCTTGCATTCTTGTCCATGGGTGATGGTGGCACTGATGCACAGAAGCATCTTGGATTCATGAATATGCCGAATCTCACTTCAATGGCAAACAGTACCTTTCATCAAATAGAGAAGTCCATTGCCCCTATGATACGGGAGGTGACAGAAGCGGCAATCCATGACAATTTACTTCAAGAGGTTGAACTTGCAATGCAAGGCACAGACGACTGGTCTTATGACAAATGGCTTGAGTATATTGGTACACCTGAAAAGAAACTCCCCCATGACTTCCCACATCCTCGAGTCATCATTGCTATGGATATGGGCTGGCAGAAGCGTTCCAGTGGAAGACGATTTGATTCCAATTCAGGCCATGCCTTCTTGGTTGGATACAAAACACGGAAGCCAATTGCGTGGTGCATAAAGAGCAAGTATTGTTCTTATTGTAAGCTGCACGAAACCAAGGGTGCCATACCCCCCGAACATGAATGTCAAATCAATCATGTTGGCTATTCAGGATCCATGGAGTCTGCGGCACTGATGGAAATGATTGAGCATGTCTACGATAAGTATCGAGTTGAGCCTCACATGGTGCTTACCGATGACGATTCCACAATGAAAGCCAACTGTAAATGGTCCAATGCGGATTACAAAACCTTCTACAATCTAACGAAATTACCAGTGGTTGGTTACCATGAGGATAAGAGAGGAAAGATGATACCAGTCACAAGGAAGGGTCGTGAGCTACCACTGTACATCCCAGAACCTACCTTCGCTGCAGATCCTGCTCATCGGAAGAAAACTCTGGAGACCCACCTCTACAAGTTGAAAAAGAGGAAGCGTGAGGGCTTCATCACTAAAGGAGATATCCTTCGCTTGTCCATGGGATTCTCATGCATGTCACATCAGCTCAAAGACATTCTACAGTCAGATTGGGCAAATGCAGGCAAAGCAGTACTGGAGCATCTCTTTGACGAGCATGCCTTCTGTGAAGATTGGTGCCAACGCAAGAAAGAGAGCGAAGAGGAAAAGAGAAGATCCAACAAGGTGTACCGTGACAAGGAAATTGAGAAGGATCTTTACGGGTGTCTCGTTGACATCATGAAGCACTTCACATCGCCGCATAAGCTATTGGATGTTGCACACGGAGGTGACACTCAAGTGAATGAATCACTCAACAACCTTATTGCTCACTACGCCCCGAAGAACAGAACCTATTGTGGATCCATTTCTTTACGGAACCGTGTTGCATTGGCGATAGGTGTCCATATTTTGGGCTACAACGTCTTCTTTCGGAAGCTCTTCGAGAAACTGGGGATTGACGTTGAAGATGGCACAGAATACTTCCTTGGGAGAATGCATAAGATAAGAGTTGACGAAGCTATGAAGATAAAGAAGGTGGAACATAAGAAAAAGAGGAAGAAAGAGATGTACGACAAACTGCTACAATATCACGCCCAGTTGAAGCTGGATCGTTCCAAGAATCGCCAATACAAGGCTGGTATCGCTCTTGAAGAAGACGGCATGGAAGAAGAACGGCCAGCGAAGAAGCCTCGCCGAAAAAAGGGAATGCTGCTGTGCAAACGCACAGCCAGCCCATTGGTGACAAGCCACCTGGTGTCAAGGATGACGACTGGTGCAAATCATGCGGCAAGTGGGGGCATCAGCGACGATCAAGCAAGCACTGCGCTGCTCCCAAATCCGACATAGCAAAGCAGAAAGATAGTGGCCTCAGCTCCGTAAATTTGAACGAAAAAGATCTTGCTCGTGCAGAATACAACCTACTGGACACCTTTGAATCAAAGACAATCCGAAGGAAGCAGAAGAGTCTACAGAAGACTTCTTGGACCGTATCATGGAGATAGACAACAAGACGAGAGGCGACAGTACTGATAGTAACAAATAGCTAATAGTTTTCTTTTCTTTTGCTTACTTGAGTCAATGACTACTTCTCGAAAGGTAACAGTTCAACAGAGGTATGACAACAGTTGCAGAGCAGCAACAGCTGCATAGCAACATCACTCACAAAGTTTTTATTCATTTGTCATCGCTGCTACTGGCACAGCTGCTTGACTCTTGACAGTAATACGTATGAGCATCCTCGTGCTTCAATCCAATCATACGGATTCTCTCAATGTCTCTCTTCTTCTGATAGCGACTTTTGCACTTCCTTTTCTTTGCCTCAGTGGCTGGTTTGTACGGAGGAGCCTTGCCTGATGTTGACATGCGAGCGAAAGGCGTGTAAAGAGGCTTCTTGTCTTCACTACTGCTGGCACAAGACTTGGTCACTACCTTCACTACCTGTAGTTCCGGGGAAGCCTCTTCCTCTTTCTTTCCTTTGACCGTTGAAGTATCTTGGGACTTGACAGTATCATGACCATCTTGGGACACCACCTGACCAGGGGAATAAGTATCCAAAGGAAACTTTGAGCGGAGAGAACGTTCCTGGAGTTTCTTGAGCCACTTGTGGTCAGGTACAGGACCATTGTTCTCATCATTGCCGGCACCGGTTTCGATGTATCCAGTGGGCTCAACACCAGGAGCATCCGGGAACATCTTCCTGACAGCATCGGTGATGCAAGGTGGCAGCTGTCTGCGTCTCCTTTTGATCTGCAATGGGTTGGTTGCGAACCAAAAATAGAAGACAAACCTCCTCTTCCCCTGTGGAAGTGACTCGAAGTCATCCGCATGTTGTTCTTTGAAAAAGAAAGTGACTGCTTCAAACATGTAATCAGTGTCAAAATTTTCCAAGGGAAACATTGTGAGAGCACAACTGGAAAGGCCAAACCTCGTGACACACTCGCACTTGTTGCCGGCATCACCCTCGCTATCTTCCGAAGTCAATCCATAGAAGGGATCACCACTGCCATAATACCGGCAGTTCATCATGGCCTTCCACTCATTGCGTGTCACATCAGACTCAATGTGGATACCTCTTCTCAACTGTCCTTGGGTGAGTAGGCCGTTGTAGACAAAGCCGACATCAGTGACTGGATCATACTCGCACACCTGGCTGGTCCAAGTAATCATATTCTCCTGGAGACGGCAGAGTATGTGGGGATGGAAGGTTGACAGGGTGATTCGGCTAAGAGGAAAGCTTCTCATCCTATGAGGGCGCTCCATAGCATCATCGTCATCATCATCTGTATCATCTGAACTATAGTCAACAACCATGCCAGTTGGCGCGGCAGCCCAAGTGAATTTGTTGATAAGGATAACACCCTTGAATTGATTCCCATTCTGAGGATTCAGACGGCTGAGACCATAATCTTCAAGAGTGATTGTTGCTCCCGGATAGAGGAGACGATCCTTCAGCAAATGTTTTGTGAGATTGCTGTTGGTGATAGCCTTGCAACAATTCTGCGAGCCATCAATGAGATACATACGTAGCACTTCCACTGGGGGCCTGTCCAACCCATACTGGCGAGTCTCCTTCCTAATCTGTCCAAGAATCAGTTTTGGTTTTGCACCTTCGGTGGGAACGTAATGGCCATGATCATCTTGTACATGGACCAAGGGCTGGCCTTCCCAGCAAAGAACCAAACCAGCGAGGAAATCAACGGATGCATCTGAGCGATGCTTGACCCTCCACCAATCAATACCATGATGATCAGTATTAGACATGTCTGTGAGTTGACAAAATCAATCTGCCAGTTTTGTGATCTTAGTTTCAGTGCGTTGGCCATTCCTCCACTGTGGTTTCGCGGATTGTTGGCGCCATTTTTGTAAGATTCCATTTCTGCTGAGAGGAAACCAGGTCCTGCATGCTTGACTTTCCACCGAAAAAGTCTGTTGGGCAGCCCGAAATGAGTGAAATTTGAATAATCAACATGATGAAAAAGCGGCCGTTCATATCAGCCTGGCTCTTCTTGTTGGACATCCCAATGACAATGACGAGAACATCCATTGTCCTATCGGACCTGCTGATCACAGCGGTGTTAGGGACAACAGTTGCATTTGGCCCGTAGCTTAGCCAATGGCCATTCTGCTGAGTATCTCAATGGGTGGAAATGACGCAGTTGAGACACCAATTTCTCCCCTGATTGGCCAATTGCCATTGTTGCGACTGCCGTGGACATGTCGGTAGGACTATGAATAAGATAGAGTGACACTCGCATGGTTGATCTGAACTGCTATTGGCTATTATCCGTCACGCCAACTGATTGTTTACATCATGTTGCCATTTGGCGAAATGAGCACTATTTCATCGTGTTCTGCGATCAGTCCCTAGTGTTAGTGACTAACATGCGCTGGAGGGTCCTTAAGTAGACTGTTGTGTTGATCTGGGACCATGACCCTTAAGTCTTTGAATCATATACCAGATCCCATCCACTATTAATGTGCAAGCATGCCCACTAGTTAGTCACCCAGCTTGCAATCCCACAAGCTGGGTAGCCAAAACCGTTACCAGCTGTTAAGAGTTGGCACTCCCCAGCTGGGCCTGTGTGCTCCAGTATGGGACAGTTACCACTTTTAGCATGCTCATAATTGTTAATAACATTCCTTTACTAATAATTCTTCACTAGGCACCTGCCTCTAGAGATCAACAGTTATTAACAATCTAACTGAGCCGACAAACTCTCCACCAACCAACCGGTGCAGAGCAACAGCCAAAGCCTTCGCTCCGAGCTGCTGTCAACCCCGACCATGACATCGTTTGTGGCCATCAACCACTTCACAAAGGAAGCACTCACTGCACTACCCGCAGATGAGAAACCAAACTATAGCACCCTCAAAGTCATCCACCAAGAACTGAACGCCAATGCCATGGCCATCACTTCAACTTTGGGAGGAGGACACTACGGCCATCTAGCCCTTGTCATCCCAGCAGCAGCATTCAATGCACTCCCCAATGCCATCCCTTGGGTTAACCCTGCTCACCCCGGAGCATTCCCAGTACATGTAGGACAGCCTACAGGAGCTCAGATTGCAGAGACCAACCGCTTATATGCAGCAGATGAAACAAAATTCCTCTACAAAGCCACCGAGACGGCCTTACAAAAGCAACTCCTCGAAGCCATCCCAGACACCTACACCAAAGAGCTCAAACATGAGATGTATGGATATGCCCAGGTCACCACCCTTGCATTACTTAACCACCTTGATGAAAACTATGGCACAGTGGAACCGGATGACCTACGAGCCAACCTCAAAAGAATGACAGCCAAATGGAGCCCCACCCAACCAATCGAAGATCTATTCAATCAGGTCAAAGATGCACAGAAATTTGCAGCCGATCATGACGCTATCACCGACAAAATGGCAGTTCGTGTAGCCATCGATAACCTCGAGGACAGTGGAGTTTTCACCCACGCACTTCATGAATGGCGCAGCAAAACATTAGTGCAACAGGAATCTCTCGCCCTCCTCAAGACCCACTTCAAGACAGCCGACAAGGAAAGACGCCGAATCCTTACACCAAAGGACGTGGGCTACGCGAACAAAGCAAGCGACAAACCCCACCACGGAGCCAACAGCGCCGTTATCCCGAACGGAAAAGGAACTCCCATGTATTATTGTTGGTCGCACGGACTCGGCACCAACAGCAACCACACAAGCAAAGAGTGCACCAAAAAAGCACCAGGACACCGTGCTGAATCCACAGCCGACGACATGTTGGGAGGCTGTTGCATCATCCGTCGCAAAGCAGGAGAACGAGCGGTTTACCGTCGCCCTCAGCGCGAACGTCAAGGCAATGACGAGAATCGTCAGCCACCAACCGATCCCTGATCACGAAGGGGGCCAATTCAAAAGGAACAACAACGAAAAAACGAAACCAACTCTATTAGCACAGATAACGAACGTAAAATAGTAGACGCGGATAAGTTAAAAGAAAAAACAAACCCACTGAATGGTGCCCCGACAACCCAAATAGACAAAGGGCGACAAGTCGCACATAGCGCAACAGCTCCAATCATTGCAGATACAGGCAGCACTGGACACGTTTTGTCCACGGACTTTATCGCCGTAAGCAATGAGTCAATCATAGACATAAAACAAACCACAAAACCAATAAGGGTAACGCTTCCAGATAGCACAACCATAACCTCAACCCACACATGTCACCTCGACCTACCAAACCTCCCCAAAGAGGCAACACAAGCTCATTTATTCCCCACACTGGGAAATACTTCACTCCTCTCAATAGGCAAACTCTGTGACGCCGGATGTGAAGCAATCTTCAGAGCACACGAATGCCTCATCTCCTTCATGGGAGACACAATCTTAACCGGATCAAGAAATCCAAGCACAAATTAACTGTGGGAAATAGACCTCGAGTCGCCACAACAACAAGAACATGCCAATTTTATGGCCACAACACCAACCGCAACACCGGCAGATCTAGTTGCATTCGCACACGCAGCACTGTTTTCACCAGTGCCCTCCACACTACACAGGGCACTGCAGAAAGGATACATCACCAGTTTCCCAGGATTGACAGTGGAAACATTCACAAAATACACCCCCCATTCGCTAGCCACCGCCAAAGGACACATGGATCAACAGCGACAAGGGATCCAATCCACGAAAACTGAAGCTCCAGCTTTGCCACTGCTCCCAGAACCCAACAACGATCTGTTTCCCGAACACGAAGAACAACGTGACAGCCAACAACAACAAGCATGCTACTTAGCCGTATTGGAACCAACCGGCAAATCCTTTTCAGACCAAACCGGGAGGTTCTTCATCCCTTCCAGCACCGGAAACAACTACTTATTTGTCCTCTATCACTATGACAGTAACTCAATACACGCAGAACCAATGCCGACACGGTCAGCACAATCCCACGTGAAAGCATGGACTACAATCCACAACAAGCTAGTCAGAGCAGGATTGCGACCGAAGCTACACATGCTAGACAATGAATGCTCCAAGCAGTTGAAAGATCACATCCACGCAGAGGGCATCAAGCTACAAACAACACCAGCCGGCATACACCGACGCAATGCAGCCGAAAGAGCCATCCGCACGTACAAGAACCACCTCATAGCAGGCATGTGCACAACCGACAGCAACTTCCCCTGCATCTATGGGACCGACTCATCCCCCAGTGTACCATCACACTCAACCTCCTCCACGGATCGAGAATCAATCCATCATTGTCAGCACATGCACAAGTTCACGGAGCCTATGATTTCATGGCAACACCCATGGCACCACCCGGCATACATGTAGTAGTACATGAAAAACCAACCGAATGAGGCACTTGGTCCCCGAAAGGAAAAGACGGGTGGTATATAGGTCCCGAACTCGAAGCATACCGCTGCTTCAGGACTTGGATATGGGACACACAAAGAGAACGTAAAGCAGACACACTCTCTTGGTTCCCCGAAAGATTACAGATACCCATGCCAACACCTCTAGACATGGCAATTGGAGGAATACGTAATATCGCCACGGCATTACAACAGCCACACACTACACCAGCATCACAAACGCTCACAACCAGTGAAGCAGCAACACTCCTCGACCTGGCAAAGATCTTTGACGATCGTCTACAGCCACAGCCCGTCCCCAGCAAAACAAGCGTGACACCTCCACCAGAACAACCAAACAACACCCCTGGCACAGTTCTGAGGGTTCCAACGTACCTAGCCACGGCCTCGCAAAAAGGGAAACGCAAACCGAAACCGACAACATGGCCTGCCCGTGACAATGACAGAACCGTCAAATGGGATGACGCACTTGACAAGGACGTCCAACCACCGGAACACCGTGCGAACAAAGCAATCAACCCGGACACTGGAGCCCTGTCAGACTATAAAGTCCTTAAGCAATCTACCGACGGCGAGCACTGGATCAATGCATGTTGCAATGAAATGGGTAGATTAGCCCAAGGACGTGCAAGCACCGGCTTGAAAGGTACCGACACCATCCGATTTATAGCCCACACCGAGGTACCAGCTGGTCGCAAAGCCACTTATCTGAGAGTGGTATGTGATGACAGACCACAGAAAACAGAGAAGAGAAGAGTGCGAGTTACAGTAGGAGGCGACCGAATTGAATACCCTTTCGATGTTAGCACGAAGACAGCTTCCCTCACAACAGTCAAACTAAATCTAAATAGTGTGGTCTCCACACCGGAAGCAAAATTCATGTCTATCGATATTAAAGATTTCTACCTTTGCACACCAATGAAACGAGCAGAGTACATGCGCATCCCTGTCGACATCATTCCAGACGAAATCATGGAGCAATACAACTTATACGGACTAGTGCACAACGGATTCGTCATGGTAGAAATAAACAGGGGCATGTATGGACTACCACAAGCTGGACGCATCGCCAATGACGCCCTAGTAGAACACCTCAACAAAAATGGATACCACCAGTCCAAGCACATTCACGGACTGTTCAAGCACAGCCACCGACCAGTCACCTTCACGTTGGTTGTTGACGACTTTGGAGTCAAATATGTTGGACGTGCCAATGCAGAACACCTCATTGAAACGCTAGCCAAGGCATACAAGATCACAACTGACTGGGATGGAGAACTGTACTATGGCATAACACTAAAGTGGGATTGCATCAACAGAACGGTAGACCTATCAATGCCTGGATACGTCCAGCGAGCATTGCAACGCTTCAACCACAGCCAACCAACTTATCCCCAAAATGCACCCCACAAATGGAATGTGCCCCAGTATGGACAACCTATTCAATACACCGAACCAGAAGACAACACGCGATGAAATTAGCAATAGGAGCCTCTATGGGTGCGCCACAGCTGTGCTGGTTTAGTCGGATGGAAACAATGCTTTTCATCGTGTACAGTCAATCAGTACACACAGCATTGCAGCCATGTGACAATTTGTATATAGCTGAGGCATGCCTATGTGTTGCAGAGCATACATACCCTTCAGCCTAGATACATTGGAATGTTCCAGACCAACAGTCCTCTCCTAGGATCTCCAACTGTGAATATCCTCTCCAAAAGAGCCAGTTCTGTCAACTGGAGTGAAATCGTGGTAATGATGTTTAGCTTATAGTAAGAAAAGATAGTAATGAAAGAGTAACCCCTGAGACCCAGTAGCACCCTCAGCCCTGCAGTAGATAGATTCCTGTGTGGTATGTGCTAGGGCAATGTAACCAGCTCCCCAAGTACTCTGAAGCAGTGATTGGGTAGCATTGAACCAGCTCTCTTTGAGCTGGCCTTTCAGCCAGTGGAGGAGATCTCCATCACTAGAGATCTCCCTCCCAGCTCTTGTGTTCCTACAACTGAGCTCCCTGGCGGAGATTCATAGGATTAACAAGTTCGCAATAGCGACACAAGAGTGGCTACAAAGTCAGTGAAGACGAAGAGTGGAAGAGTGGAAGAAGCAAGAGGAGTCGACGGAACAAGAAAATCGACAAGAAAATCCCGATCGTGCCGAAAACCGGATTGTCAACCGTTTCCAGCCAAACCAAGACAGTCACCTATCAACCAAAGGGTGCTTGATACGATACACCAGCCATCTTCTTGTTGATCGGCTTGGTTACGGCTGCCGATAGTGGAATAGACCACCATTGTCGATCTTCGATTTTCCGTACGAAAAGCAAGGTAGCAATTCTCCCAGTCGTGCTTGGAGGATACTGGCAAACGAACCGGTACTCACACGGTACCCACACGGTACTCACACGGTACTCACAAGACGTACCTCTTCTGACTTCCGAGTGACGTACTTGACGTACCTCTGTTCCGAAAGCAAGCCGACACATCGCGCGAATAGGCTCCTCACATTTTCTTGGAAATTCCGTACTCCTGCAGTCAAGTCTCAAGGAACCCGGAAAGCCACGAAGATACGTGCTGATCGATTGGCTCTATACAGATCGTTCAACAGCCTCAACAGCCTCTAAGGTAACTCGGAGCAACTCGAGGACACCTTCCGGTCTGTTTCAGAGTATTCCAAGGGCATCAGTGTGTCAAGCAGCCTTCAATTGGTCATCCACCAACAGTGCAAGGCTTCAAGTCACCTTTTGGATTTTCTGTGCTTGTGTTTGTGCAGTGCCTCTCCAGCCACACATACACACACCAACACCAACACCAACACCAACAATACTCATCCAACCGGTACCCTCCCAAGGAACAGGCAACACCACTACACTACCACTACACTACTGCACTGTCTAGCCAGCGCACCAATCATCATGGGTCGCAAGAAGAAGAAGCAACAGCAGGGAATGGATGCCAGTGACACCATATCACTAGCAGCATCCAATGGCACCAACAAACAGGACAACACCAACAGATCCACTACTGCAGAGGAACCAGCTCCAGCTCCAGCTCCAGCTCCTCCTGTCAGAACACCTGTGGATCCCCCAGGCTGTTTGTTACCACCACACCACAGTGCCACCACCAGCTTGGCTTCCTCCAATCTAGCCAACCATGACACAACAACAACAATGATCAGCCAACAACTTGAGCAGCTGACATTGGCATTGACAGAGGCATCAAAGCAAGCTGCCCTTGATCCTTGCAATGCACCTCCCCTCCATGGCATACTATCCATGGCTCTATTCCTAGAACACCTGTGTTATCACTCAAGCCCAGCCCTGA